ACCTGTGTCATATTCAATCAACCAAAAACAAATCTCACAATTTTTTGTGAGACATTACTGGTGCCTGCTCGAGAAAATCGATGAACAACGGGAGGACAGTGCTACAGTGCTACCATTTTTTTATTCCTACACTCAGGAATCATTTGCTTGTGGGACCATATGGGATGCTGGGGATCAAACCTGTGTCAGCTGCATGCAAGGCAAATGCCCTACCTACTGTACTATTGCTCCAGTCTCTATGCCCTTTCATCCAGGTCAGTGACCAAGTTTTTTTTCTTTGGGGCACATCCAGCTGCGTTCAGGGCTTACTCCAGGTTCTGTGCTCAGGGGTCACTGCTGGTGATGCTTAGGGGATCATGAAATGTTGGGGATTGAACCCAGGTCAGCCACATGCAAGGCAAACACCCTACCCACTTTACTGTTGCTCCAGCCCAGTGTCCAAGTTTTGTCACCGCCTGGCCATCCTGGACAGGGGACTGGCCCTGGGCTGGGAGATGAGTGGGGGTTGCCTCACTCTGGTGGGGCTGGGGCTGTCCAGGTCCTCATGCAGTCTCCTTCCCACCAACCTTCCAGGTGCCAACGTTCCTGAGGCCCCAGGTGATCTACACAATGGCCCGTGATGGGCTCCTTTTTGGGGGATTGCCCATGGCACCCCCACGCTGTTACCATCCTTTCTGGAACTTTCAAGCCTCCTTCCTCTTGGACCCACTTCGTCTATCTCCATCAGTTTCTCACACCTGCCTCCACCTTGGCTATGCCCAGTCCCAGTCCTCACGGCCTTCCTCCTCGAGCTGAGATGTTTGGCGCTCTGTCTACCGTGTCTCTGCTTACACACTCCCTGCTGGCCTTCTCTGTGCTCTCATGTGAAGCTCCACCAGGGACACCTGGTACTCACTGACCGGGTGTAAACCCTCTCCCGTGCCTTCCTGCCATGTCCTGTGGGTGCTGCTCCATGTAGGTGGAGAGGAGGACTTGGTGCTAACATCACCCTCATCACTAGGTACAGGCCAGGTCAGGAGTCAGGAAGGATGAGGAAACAGACTGGAAGTGACCCAGGTGAAGCCTGGACTTGAAGCTGGTGGTGAAGCATCTGTACCTGAAGTGGGAAGTTGGAGGGTCGCGTCCCAGGCTGGCCCCTTGTTACCACATGGCCAGACTGTCTCTGAATGCTTGGTGCTTGGTGACCTGCAGGGTGTATGGGGAACAGGTTTGAAAACTGCAGAAGAGTCTTGGGATAGGAATGGCCTTTTATGGGGGAATGGGGGACTCAGGGATCACTCCTTCCAGTGCTCATGGGACCATATGAGGTGCCAGGGATTGAACCTGGGTCGGCCACATGCAAGACAAGTGCCCTCCCTACTGTTCATGCTATGGCCCGGGACAGCCTTCTTGCTGTGGGAGGGCAGGGGTTGGGTCGCACCTGAGGTCCTGCATCCACCCTCTGCAGTCCTGCTGGTGACCCTGTGCCCGCCTCTGGCCTGGTGGAGCAGTGACGTGTTCTCTGGGGACTCAGCTCTGTGTGCTATGAGGTCCATGCAGTCTTTGCTCGATGAGAGAAATGCTTAATCGGACCCATTGCTCATTCCCTGCTGGTCATGTTTCCCAGTAAGTTGTCCAGGCCAGGGGATACTGTATATCTCTCCACAGAGCAGAATGCTGCTCCCTGCTACTGGGCCAGGCTCTGGGGGGTGGGGGGTGACCCAACTAGGCCCACAGGTACCCACTTTGCTCGCTGTCTACTGCTGAATATCTTTGTGAAATGTACCTCATGCAGCAGATGACTGTGGGCACCTGGGCGCTGTTGGGAATCTGGACAGTACTCTTTTTGCTTTTTGGGTCACACCTGGTGATGCTCAGGGTTATGCCTGGCTCTGCACTCAGGAATTACTCCTGGCAGTTCTCAGGGGAGCAATGGGGTACTGGGGATCAAACCCAGGTTGACTGTGTGTGAGGCAAATGCTCTTTCCACTACACTATGGCTCTGGCCCCAGGAATCTACCGTTTCAAATGGGATTTGAGACTGGCAAATGTGAAGACCAGATTTGGGAGCCTGGTATTTCCTTCCCACTGACACAAGTATAAAATATTCTTTATTTTTCTGAAATTAGTTTTGATTTGGAAGTTTTGAAGGGAAGAAGGGAGAGAAAGTGGGAGAGAGTGGAGAGTAATGTGCTCAAGAGAACCCAGGCTTCTTCAAGGGCAGAGAGAGCCCCTACACACATCCCAGAATTAGACATGAAAGCATTAAAGTACACAACCCAAGAGGGGAGATGCAGGTGACACATGTGCTCAGGCACTGCATGTGCTCTCAGGGGCATGCAAACACTGCCAGGTGTGAGATGCAAGGAAAGGCACATTACCTGCAGTTCTCAAACTGCAGGATGCTATGTCCCTCTGCACACCTGCCTTGTCTGCCAACTTAATTTTTTTTTGCATTTAAAAAAAATAAACCTTTTACTTTGGGTTACACTTGGGAGTACTCAGGGATCACTCCTGGTGGGGTTTGGGGTATCAGAGATAGAATCAGGGTCAGGTGTGTGCAAGGTGAGTGGCCAAATACTTGCCTTGTACTATCTTCCCAGCTCACTCGTTTAAGGTCTCCACCAGTAACTCTGGTGGTTTTCTGACTGTTTCTGGCTACTGCCAGTTGCTGTGGACCCAAAGAGGACAGCTGGACCACTGCCTGTCAAGGGGTTGGAGACACTGCTCCTGTGGATGGACCGGGAAAAGCCTGTTTTCTGGAGCAGACCTGCTACGGTCTCTCCTCAGACCCCAGCTGTGCTGGCCTTGTGGATTGACAGTGGACATGGGGGACAGAGCAGCCATGTTAAGAGCACCTCCTGGGGCGGGGGAGGGGGGAGGTGAGATTCATGGGAGCCTCTTTGGTTGGTTTCTGCCTTCTTTTCCTGGGGCCTATGCCACCTGGCTATTTCCACCTGTCTCCCCAGCTCTGCCTCTTCTGAAATGTGGCTCTGGCAACTTGAGGTGAAGAGCAGAGGAATCTTGCTTGCAATTAATCTACTTGTTGTGGATTTAAGGAGAGACATGGATGTTTTAATCATGTGCACATGCACGTGTGTGTGTGTGTGTGTGTGTATGTGTTGGATGGACCCCAGGATCTCAGTGTCCCAGGAGCAGAATGGAGGATGCCCCCTAATGCTTCTATCACTACTCTTTCATGTTAGAAATGTGGCAGCTCTTCCTTTCAGCACACTAAATATCTCTTAAGTCTGTGGCTTCTGATGAGATCCCAAGAACCCTTGCAATAACGACTCCTTAGACACAAACTTACTGAAACACTTTTCATACAGATGAGTGCAAACAGGGAGGCTCTAAACTCAGCTCATGTGGGCCAGAGCGAAAGTTCAGTGGAGAGGGCATTTGCCTTGCATGCGGCTGACCTGAGTTCAATCCCCAGCATCCCATATGGTCCCCCGAGTACTGCCAGAGGTAATTCCTGAGTGCAGAGCCAGGTGTGACCTAAAAAGAAAAACAAAACAAAACAAAAAAACCCAACAAAAAACCAAAACAGGCTAGAACAATAGCACAGTGGGTAGGGCATTTGTCTTGCATGTGGCCAACCTGGGTTCGATTCCCAGCATCCCATATGGTCCCTTGAGCACCGCCAGGGGTAATTCCTGAATGCAGAGCCAGGAGTAACCCTTGTGCCTATTCACTGCTGGGTGTGACCCAAAAAGCAAGCAGACAAACAAACAAAAAAACCCCACCTCAGCTGATGAGGGCCAATAAAACCTGTTCATTCTCTACATGTTTCATAGCTATCTACAATGTTTATGGCACCAGGAAGTCAGAATTCACATATGAGGGGCTAAAGGGATAGTGGAAGGATCAAGGCACTTACCTTGCACACAGTCAACTCAGGTTCCATTCCTGGAACTTCACAGGGTCCCCCGAGCTCCACCAGGAGCAATCCCTGAGCACAGCACCACCGGCTGTGGTCTCTCCGCAACCTCCCACGTAGCAGCTTTGTCCATGCCTAGCAGTCCCTCTTCAGTGTTTCAAACACTCCCTTGGATCTGGTCCTCTCCCAAACTCTAGCCTCAGATTTCTACCATGGATACCAGTCCCTTCCTATAAACAATTCCTTCCTTTCACTCTACTGTCTCCGGAGAATTCCGATCCTATCCAAGTGACAGTGCCCTCTCAGCCCCGCCCCCCTCTCCCCTGATTGAGGTCCCCCTCCGAGAACAAGTTCCCCTGAGTTGAGAGGATGCTGAATGTATTTTCCACTGGCCACTGGGGATTTTAAGTGCTTATTCAAGTCTCCTCCATTCCTTTACCTGGTTGGTTCTATTTCTTTTTTTGGTTCTGGGTTATACCCAGTGATACTCAGGGACCATGCAGTGCTGGGGATCAAGGGCCTCCTGCGTGTGAAATGTGCCTTGGATGGGCTCTGCCCTCTAAGCTTTTGGTTCTGGTTCATTTCTTTGTATTTTCTAAGTAATTCTCTTTTAGGTGACTCTAAGTATCTTCTGGTCATCAGGTTTATTTTTAAATTTTTTTTATTTTTTACTATCTTCATGCTATCATTTGATTAATAAAAATCCGTGCTTTGGGGTGGGGGTGTGGGGAGACACTAAGCAGGCTGGCGTGTGTAATGCAAGCATGAGTCCCAGATCTGATCCCCAGCTCTGCACAAGGTACCTGAACATCAAGGGACATGATCCCTGAGCACCGACTCAGAAGTAGTTCCCAAAGCCTGCAGATGTGCTAAAAAAACAAAAGGGAAACAAACATCCAATCTTCCCTTTTTGCTTTTGAATATTAACATACTAACTTTGGTTAGTGAGTTTCAAATATTAAGAAACTGTCTATTTCAATAAAGCTTGAACCTCTATTATGTTCTTTTAGAGGTTTGTCTTCCAAAATACACTGTACTCACTGAAGGTCTTTTTGCAGTAAATTCACTAATAACAATACTAACAGTATGGGCAAATACCACAAGAGTTAATGTTTATTAAGCTTACATACACACCTGACGTACTGTCAGGAAGTTTACATGTACCAAATTCATTCAGTCCCACAAGTGCAGTATTGGGTAGATGTTGCTGATCTCCATTTCACAAATACACAGGGCTACCAGGTAACTACTTGTGACTCATGGGAGTAAGAGGTGGGACACTGACAAAAGGTGGAGTATTTGCTGTCATGAGAGGTTCCCTCACTTATATTAGCAGTTATTCTCCAGAATGAATCAAAATGTGATAGGGACTGAAGGGTACTAGAAAGCTTCTATTAACCTGTCCTATAAAAGAACTGTCTATGCTAAGTTGTGATCATGAAAAAAAATGATTTCTCAATCCTCCAAATTCACCTCCACAATGATTCTGATATTAAAGATGCAGAAGACTGACCAATGAGGGCTTTCCTTTGTCAAATTATACCACAAACTTCTCTCATGAGAGAAGAAATTAATGTTGTAGAGAAGCCTCTGTACATTCTTTGTATTCAAAAGGTTTTTTTAACAACGTGATCTCTGAGAGTCTCTAAAATGTTTCGCATGATTATGTGTTATTCTGTGTTCCTTGCTTTCAGAGGGTTTCCCACCCATATGAGTTTTCTGATGCTGTGTAAGCTGATGGCTATGACCAAAGGCCTTTCCACATTCTTTGCACTCATAGGGCTTCTCCCCTGTGTGAATCCGTTCATGCTTAACAAGGCTTGACCCATAAATAAAGGTTTTCCCACACACCTTACACTTATAAGGTGTTTCACCAGTATGAATTCGCTCATGCTGAGTAAGGTGATAGCCACAGTTAAAGGCCTTCCCACATTCCATACATTTATATGGCTTTTCACCTGTGTGGATTCTCTCGTGTTTAACAAGGCTCGAACCCCAACGAAAGGCCTTCCCACATTCCTTACATTCATGAGGCTTCTCACCAGTATGAATTTTCTGATGCTGAGTAAGATAATTGACACGGGTAAAGGCCTTCCCACACTCGTGACACTCATAGGGCTTCTCTCCAGTATGAATTCTTTTGTGCTGAATGAGGCTCGAGCCACAAATGAAGGCCTTGCCACAGTCTTTACATTCATAGGGCTTCTCGCCACTATGAATTCTCTTATGCTGAATTAATTTATACACACGGCTGAAGGTCTTCCCACAGTCTTTGCACTCGTAGTCTTTCTCACCGGTATGGAATCTCTGGTGCTGAGTGAGCTCATCACCACGCCTGAAGGCCTTCCCACAGTCTTTGCATTCATAGGGCTTCTCACCTGTATGAATCCTCTTATGAATGACGAGGCTTGAGCTCCAACGAAAAGCTTTTCCACAGTCTTTACATTCATAAGGTTTCTCACCAGTATGAATTTTCTGATGTTGAGTAAGTTGATTACCCCAACGAAAGGCCTTCTTACATTCCTTACATTCATAGGGCTTCTCCCCAGTATGAATTTTCTGGTGCTGGGTAAGTTGGTAGCCACGACTGAAGGCCTTCCCGCACTCTTTGCATTCGTAGGAATTCTCCCTACTGTGAAGTCTCTGATGAGGCCTCACAGATGTATTTTCTCTGTAAGTGGGAGCTTTCCCATAGCTGATAATTGTTTGATTAAAATATCCCTCTCGAGTGCCCTGTGGTCCTTCAAACTCACCTTCACTTATCCAGTTAAGGCCAAGGGATTTACTTTTTCCATTTGAGTTTCGTTTGGAAAAATTTCTTTCACAGATGTCCTTTTCTATGGGTAAATTCTTGGTCTCATATGGTGATTCCAAATCTAGAGAAAAAATACCATATTTTGTTTCCTCTTAAGAAAACAAAAACAAAGGCAGCCAGAATCCAAAGAATTCTCTAGTAGAAATGAAACTGCTCTAGTAATAGACCACCTAGGGATCTTGTTAAATTGTAAATGCCAGGGCCAGCAGGAATGTTGTTCAAGAGACAGACCATATAACTTACATGTGTGAGGCCTCAAACTCAGTCCCTGGTACCACAGGGCTCCTGAGCACTGCTGGTCTGACCCTGGTGGGTCCCAGCACATGGTTTTAGCACAATGACAGTTAACAATAAATAGAATAAAATGTAGATTCTATGACTGGCACCATAATATTTAAATAATGAAATACCGGAGACAGGTAATGTCAATCCATAGGGGACTGTTGGCCTTAGTATTTGCCTTCAGTGGACACAATGAAGCAAAAGAAATTAGAGGGGTAATATAAAAAATGAAGATGAAAGGTAGTATGACTGAAAGGAATTCTGGACAAAGGACTCAAAAATCAATTAGGAATATAGTACGGTAAGAATGTAGTTTAGTGTTAAGAGTACATACTCTGTGTGTATGAGGCCCTTATCTCTAATACCATGTGTATAAAAAAGGGACAGTGAGGACAATTAAACTGAGTATGTAGAATTTTAACTTAGAAATCAAACAACTAAGGGTTGAAGCGATAGTACAGTGTGTAGGGAGCTTGTCTTGCATGCCACCATTTCAGGTTCAATCCCCAGCACCCTACATGGCCCCTGAGCTCGGTATGAGTGATTCCTGAGTGCAGAGCCAGAGGCAAGCACTGCAGGGTGTGGCCCAAAAGGCAAAAAACAAAACAAAACCCTTTTTAATTTTCATAAAAAGGAAAATAATGCCTTAAATTGAAACTTTCTGAATTAACTTGCCAACACATTTGTCATATTTTCTTGCAGTGCTGGTGATCAAACCCAGGACCTCACACAGTGAGACATGCTGATGGTTTAAAACTTGTTTAGGTTATATGTAAAAAACAGTGCCATCAACAGTCTCTTGAAAGGTAGTCCTGAATGTTGAGGGAGCAGAGTCCGGGCCACTGGCAGATGACTCACCCAGTGAGACCAAGTTACTGTAGTTCTCCAGCATCACCTCCCAGTACAGGTCCCTCTGGGCGGAGTCCAGATAGGCCCACTCCTCCTGAGAGAAGTCTATGGCCACATCTGAGAACGTCACCAGACCCTGAAAACACAAACCCGCATGTCCCTGATGCAATGAAGGGACAGAGTTTCATGATGAAGGGACAGGCAAAAGAAGAGTTTCAAGGGTTCCTGGGTGGGGTGGGTACAGCTAGTGGGCCTTGTTCCTGTCACCTGCAGAAGTGAGGTCACACCTGGGTCTGAAGCAGTTACCTACAGGCCACTGAAGAAACCACTGCTTCAGAGAACCACCTGCCCTGTGTTATCATCCCAACAGGTAAGAAATGGATAAAACAATCCAATGTTCCTCTCACCCACAAGTTTAGAGCTTCGCTCTTCACAGATTCTCAATCAGCGTGGATTCCTATGGTGCTCTTTTTAATTTAAGGATATAAGAATAAAATTCCTGAGCTGGAGAGATAGCTACAAGGGTTAAAGTGCTTGCCTAGCCTGTGGCTGACCCTGGTTGGATTCCTAGTGCCACACAGATTCCCCTGAGTACCTCCAGGAGTGATCTCTGAGCACAGAGCCAGGAGTAATTCCTAAGCACTGCCAAGTACAGGAAGAAAATTTTGTACCTCAAATATAAAGTAAAAAAATCTATTTTTGGGGGGCAGTAGTTGGAGTGCAAACCCAGTAGTTATCAGGGCTTACTCCTGGCTCTGCTCAAGGATCATTCCTGGTGAGGCACAGAGGAGACTATGTGTAGTGCCAAGAACTGTACCAGGGTTGGGTCAAGTTCAAGACAAGTACATTATACCTTGTACTATCCTTCTGGTCCTGTAATTTAAGATATTTCCTTTGAAAGAAAAACATAACATTTTCCTCCAGTTCTGGGAACACAGAGTCATCTACAACTCCTGTACTAGATGGTCTTCCCTGACCACCGGCCACCCATGCCTTCTCCAGTGATTCATAAGCATGCAAGGATCTGTCAGTGAAAATGAGAACTCTTGGCTTCCCCAGTATGAACATGAATTCTAAGTCTTCAGACCCTAACCACAGCCCTATAAAATCCTAAAAATTTCATGAACCTTGAGCTTTCACCACTCACTGAGACCAAGATCAACAAAATAAAAATTCCTTATTTGTCTGGAAAAACATAAGTGTGAAATTTCAGTCTTCTTCAGTTGTAAGATAGGCCCAACATTCTAATTCATCAACCCACAGACTTGACTCAAATCCATCTCCCCAAGGAATTTCCTTCACTGCTTCAACACTACACTAGACTAATTAGATGATTATGTGAACATTAGCCATAAAGATGGACTGGATTATGGGGCATTCTTATTCATTTGGAACAGGAAGAAACTGGGAAGGAGGTAATTATGTGGATCTCCCATGGGCAGAAGGGCTCAATTTAAAAATTCATGCACACAAAAATCGGTGTGATCTAAATACCATATTTCACAAAGGAAAGAGAAATACTTACATGGGCCATAGTTTTATAATCAAAATTGATCAGTCTTTGGGTTTTCTTTACTGTAGATACAAAATCCAGAGAGAGTACTAGGGAAGGAAAAATAAGCATCATGTGAACTGTAGGGTTCCCCAACATGACCATTTTGTCCTTTATCTTTGCTTCCAAAGAACCTTTCTTCCCCACAATATTCACACATAAATAAAACGGAGTGAAGAAGGTGGGATTTAGGGGAAAACAATCTCTTTCAGGTAACCCAGCTACACAGAATAGAGAAACTGTTTTTTTTTTTTTTTTTTTTTTTTTTTTTTGCTGAGAGGTCTATATCATACACAACAGGAATGACCTTTGTTTAGGGTTGGTGCCAGCCACACCACATCTTAAGGTGGGAGTCTAATACCTAGTAACTGTGGGATGGGGCTGGCTACGTGATTAAGACAATGGGGTGACTTGGGATTGGGTGTTTTGACTGTGGGAGAAACACTGGCCCAGAAACAGATTAATCTGTGGGCAATGAATAAATCACATCCACACGATCAAGCATGCCTGTGAGGCCCTGATGAACACTTGGAGAAACAGGACAAAGGGTAAGGCATTTGCCTTGAGTGCAGCTGACCCAGGTTCGATCCCTGGCACCCCATGCAGTCTGCCGAAGGACTGCCCTGAGTGCAGAGGCAAGAGTAAGCCTAGAGCACCACAGGGTGTGGCCCAAAAACCAAAAAAAAGGAAAATTCGTTGAGATGGAAACTCAGACGATCTTCCCTACCTGGGAACACCCAGGGGTATTATTACACATTAACACTGGCAGGACTGGAGTGATAGCACAGTGGGTAGGGCGTTTGCCTTGCACGCAGCCTACCCGGGTTTGATTCCTCCACCCCTCTTAGAGAGCCCGGCAAGCTACCGAGAGTATTGTGCCCACACAGCAAAGTCTGGCAATCTACCCGTGATGTATTCAATATGCCAAAAATAGTAACAAGTCTCACAATGGAGACATTACTGGTGCCCGCTCGAGCAAATCAATGAACAATGGGAGGGCAGTGCTACAATGCTACAGTGCTAACACTGGCAGAGTAGGGAAAGCCCTTGACCTCACCCTTTGTGTCCCTGTCTGATGTTACCCTGTAGCCTTTTCCCAGAATAAACTGAAATGGATGCAGAATATCTCTCACTAGGTTCTGGAAATGACTGAACCTAATGGGGGATTTTTAAGAATTTCCTCAACTGGGAATAGCAGTAATTAACAAAGCAGGGAGGACACTTGCCTTGCATGCGGCAGACTGGGTTCTATCTCCTGCACTCCATTTGGTCCCCTGAGCCTGCCTGGAGTAATCCCTGAGCACAGAGCCAGGGGCAGGTCCTGAGCACCACTGAGTGTGGCCCAAAGATCCCAAAGATTCCTGAACTGTCAACTGCTGTCATAAATGAGAAGCCAAGTGGAGACTGGACCACACACCCAACAGCTTGGCTGCAATCCCGACCTAAGACAAGGGTCTGGGGTGCTCAGTTTCTGTGGGCACAGTTTCTCCTGGCACCATTCAGGTGAATCTTAATTCCACAGCATTCAGACTTGAATTTTTTTTCTAGACTTGAATGGTTTTGCTTTTTTGGGGGTTGCACACACCCATAGGTGCTCAGGGGTTACTCCTGGCAATGCTCAGGGAACTATGGGGTGCTGGGGATGGAATTTGGGTCAGACACATGCAAGGCAAGTGCCCTTACCTGTTGTACTCTCACTCTGGTCCCACGATTTGAGTGTTTTGGAGTGTCTGGGTGATTGAGAAAATGACTAGGTGGCACCCTTTGGTACTCAAGAATTATTGCTTGGCTCTGCTCAGGGATCACATGCAATGCTGGGGACTGAACTGAGATCAGCCCCATGCAAAGCATAAGCCTTAAGCCCTGTACTATCTCTCCAGTCCTACATCTTTTGTTTTTAATTAAAAAAGAATAATTAGGTCCTCCAAATCATATGATACAATATTTGTAACATTCTATAATAGGAAAAAAATGAGAACATGGGGTAATGACAAATCCTGTTATATATTTCTCCTACAGATGAGAATTAACAGTTGGTCTGAAATTGCTAACTTTTGGTATGCTTTCAGCATAGGCCCTGGTTTCCACCACTCACTGAAACGAGTGACTCACAGTTCTTAATACTTATACAGTGCAGAATACTGACTTTCCTCTGGTTATCTTAGTACATACTGTGGTAGACAACCACTATGAATTAGTTTGACATACTAAAATGTGGGTGGACTTAATTAAGAATATATTAACTTTGGAACATTTCATTAACTTTTGATTCCTTTCAGTTCCTGATACCCTGAACAAACTTTGTTGTCGGTTATATGTCAACATGTTTGAGGACTAGGAAAATAAGGGCTAAAATTCCAAGAGATGATGTTTTGATGTTTAGTTTTCTCTTTTCTTGGGTTCATTTAACTGTTAAACTTGTTCTTTCAATCCTGCAGTTAATTACTAAATCAGCTTTTTCATCTTAGCTTTCACTTTTTGCAAACACTATCAGAACAAAATATAAAACTTAGAAATAAATCCCTCTTGGGGCTGGAGAAATAGCTCAATGCCTGAGTGCATGCATGTTCAATTCCCGGTAATACACAGTCCTCACAGCACTGGGCCAAGAGTACCTCCCAAACAACTGCTGGATGATCCCCAAAACAAACAAAAAGAAAGAAATTCCATTTATCTCCACATAGAGCCCTGATATTCAGAATGACTGGGCTGTTTCCTGACATCAGTGTCTGTGGTGAGAATGATGTTCCCTTTAGAGGGTCTCACTCACAGGATGCCACCTGCTTCTTGTTTCTTCTTTCACTGCTGAATCTGTGTTATGCTCTGGTAACAATGACTCTTTAGTCATGACCACTTGGTTCTGGAAGACTCCAACAGACCCAAATGATGATACATCATCAAACTATAGTGGAACATCACAACCAGGATTGAGATATTGATAAAACCTGTCAATTTTACTCAGATTTTCCAGAAGTCTTTAAAAATATATCTCATAGTAGAAGACAGATTAAAAAGTAATCTAACATGCCATACATCTATGATAAAACTGACTCATACCTAGAAACTTAGGATAAATTATCAAGGTATGTAGGCAGAAAAATGTGTGCATGGGGATTGAACTCAGCTCTGGAGAACACTTGCCTGGGAAGTATGAAGCCAGGAGTTCAGTCCCTGTCACTTCAGGAAAGGAAGAAAGGGAAGAGTGATCTGTGAGAAGTTTTGGTAAAGAACACAAGCTCTGTGTCTTTTCAGGATGTGAACTTCAAAGTTATTAACTGATGAGTGTTTAGTGCCTGGTGAGTCTGGGATAAAAATAGTACTATGAGGTATGACTTTCTGACTATTAATAAACTACACAATACACACAATATGTAACAATTATTTAATATCAAGTCAGTATTAAAGATCAGTAACATCACACTCTTAATCCTTTTTCTGGGGATGAAGCGGGGCCTTCCAGGTGTCCGTGGGGGCCCTGCTGGGAGTCACTCCAGGTGATAACTTGGCCAATAGGGCTGAGTTCAATGCCAGGGTCCGAGGAGGTTGCAATGAGCCAGCCATATGCCAGGCCTGCTTCTCAACCCTCTCTCCTGACCTCTCTAGGGGCAGCCCTGGAGGCCTCCAGCACTGTTGGTGGCATGGGCGGTCCTCAGCAGCATTGCATCTTCCAGTCTGAAGCATATTGCTGAAATTGGGGGCCCTTGGGTTCCCTAAGCACTGCATGGGTCCCCACTCAGTCCAGTTCTAAGAATCTATACTGAGAAATGCTAAACTGAGAACACCAGTAAGAGATTCAATCTCTCTAGGATTTATGTAAATTCTACCATAGACTTGTTTTTCCTGTATTTCTCCCTGGAAACATGATTCACACAGCCTGTATTTGTAAAGCATCAGTGTTTACTGTCAGGTTGTGAAAATCCTAGAAAATCAAATAAACATTGCTTTCTAGATAATTTGTTGCAGGATATGAGAATCAACTGCATACATCTAAGAAATCTGAGTATCTTTTCTTTCAAAGAAGGGGAATCCTTGGCAGGACTTGCCTGTGTTCCAGCTGAGTTGGATCTTTTTATAAAATGAGATTTGGAGGCTTTTAATTGTTTACAGGACTGAGCAGCAAGATTCTGTGCTCCAGAAACAATACCCTTGTGTCGAGGGGAGGGGGACCAATGCAAATACATATATGTGCCAACATAAGTTGCTACTACAATTATCTCTGCATCCAGAAAGACAATTGTGGATAATTTCCAGTTTTGTCTTCACGTGCTTCTTAGATTTTTTTTTTTCTTTTTGGGTCACACCTGGCGATGCACAGGGGTTACTACTGGCTCTGCACTCAGGAATTATCCCTGGTGGTGCTCAGGGGACATATGGGATACTGGGAATCGAACCTGGGTCGGCTGTGTGCAAGGCAAGCGCCCTACCCGCTGTGCTATTGCTCCAGCCCCAAGCTTCTTAGATTAAAAAAAAAAATTCAATCACAACTCCACTAATCCCATTATGAAATATATAAAGTAAACCCAAATTATAAGCTCATTAACTGGCCTGATCCAGAGACTCATAAATAAATTTCAGAACAGATCAATAAGCTTCAGAGATACTTCTTGATCCCACACCAGACTGAGTCTCATCTGGAGTACTCTGGAGGGGGTGAGAGCCCACCACCCACCCAAACAGAGCTCTAGCAGCCAAAAACCATCCATATCCTAATAACTGCCATGCTCATGGCTGGATTCCACAGGCTCAGGAAAAGCCTCATTCAGGAATGAATCTAAGTTGAAACACACAGTTAAGCAGGAGACTGAAATCTCCAGGCTCTCATCCTAATCCCCCAATTCTTCCAGGAGCCTGGCAGTCACTCCCACGAACTGCCTCTGGAGCCATATAAGCTCATTAATCAGTCAAGGTCCAGAAACTCATAAATAAATCTCAAAAGAAAGCACAAACTGCAGAGATGCTTCTGGACCACAAAGTCACCATTCAGTTAAATATTTAACTCCAGCTGTAACAACCCATTTAAAATTTTAGAATTACTGCAGAGCACAGCTGCTAATGTGGCCACGTGACATAGACTCTACATCACTGATAAACCAAGAGTAGCACATCATATTGGATGGAATGTAAAGTAGAAGGCAATCAATTTTGATTAAGAAAATGTTAGTACACAAGGCTCAACATGTACAACATGT